AGTCTCAAGAGACTGGACCAGCCCCTCATGGTGCGCTGCAAGGAGAAACAGGGCATGCTGGACATCAACGTCGACAAGTGGGTTTATACCGGAGGACACACACACACACTCTGAGGATGGAGGAGACTGATTATGTTAGGAGAGTTTTCACAAACGCGGACAGACGGTTAGAGGACGCGTCGCAGCACATTCTCGCTCTCCCACGCCCTACTGACATAAAGCCATGCAGATTTCACTGTTATTTAGACAGAGACATGCTCTCACTCTCACCCCCACACTCCTGTTTACACAAACACCTTCTGTATCATACCTCTGTTGTGACGCTGCAGCATCCGTCCTCTGGGAGACTGTGAACACTCCCTGTCCTTGTTGTGTGTAGGAACCTGCTGAAGATGTTCAATGAGATCCACTACTGGGAGCGTCTGCTGTTTGAGATCCCCCACTACGTCTCTGACGTCTACCAGAGGAAAGAGGAACTCCGCAGCATGAGGGAGAGTGTACTGCTGGTGGTACGAGACTACAACCGGTACAGACACACACACACATGCACGTAGACACACACACACAGGCACACACACACATACATGTACGCACACACACTTGCATTCGCGTGCACACACGCGTGCACACAGGCATATACACACACACACACACACACACACACACACACACACACACACACACACACACACACACACACACACACACACTACACCTATGTCTCTCACATCCTTACTCAGTATGAGGCAAATTAGACTGTAAGCCTCAGTGCCTGGGACCCTGCAAAGCTCAGCACACCCAACACTGCTTAAAACTGAACACACACACGCACACACACACACACACACTGCGAAAGTCAGCGCACACAACACTTCAGATTGAAGCACACTCAGAGTGGATGTGAATTAGCACGTGGCAGGCCATGCATAGCACAATGCTCACAACTTACTGTGGCTGTAGGTCAAGTGTGTGCATACTGCATCAACAAACGAATGCCTGGCTAGCTGTGTGTTAGTGTTTATATATTTCCCTGTAACTAGGTTGTCTACCCACTCTGCCCAGAGTGGATGAAAACAAGCTTTGGTGATGAAATTTCACTTAATTATGTTATAAAATACATTTTACCAAGACAAATATGATTCTTCATGTTCTGAATTGTTCAGTGGGGTCTTTCACTAACATATCATTGATATTATTTCCGAAAAGTTGGATTTCGTAACGTAATAAATCCGATAATAAACACAGAGCTCTGTTGACAGAGCGTTGCGCTTTCTCGCAGCGACTTTCGAGGATTTTACATGTTGTACTCATCTGCAAATTTGTTTCTGCGGGTCGCAAAAAGTCTAACTGAATTATATGTAAAACGATTTTATTTTTAAAACTTACAGTACGATCAGTGGTCCATTGACATTTCACAAGAGATACACTTGTTTTTGTGAGAAATCTTCCAACAAGAACAGGAATTTCGGATTGATATGAAAAGCGTATACTAAAATATGAAAATACTACATGTCATGTCTCAAAATCGATATCTATCTTACCTCTATATTGTTTTATGTCCTCTGGATTCGAGAAGAAAGATCACAAGTTCAATGGTGAGCCTGTCAAGTAGCCTTAACTCTCACACAGCATCCAGTCTAGCTGACACAGCATCCAGTCTAGCTGACACAGCAACCAGCCTAACTGACACAGCATCCAGCCTAGCTGACACAGCATCCAGCCTAGCTGACACAGCATCCAGTCTAGCTGACACAGCATCCAGTCTAGCTGACACAGCAACCAGCCTAACTGACACAGCATCCAGCCTAGCTGACACAGCAACCAGCCTAACTGACACAGCATCCAGTCTAGCTGACACAGCATCCAGTCTAGCTGACACAGCATCCAGCCTAGCTGACACAGCATCCAGTCTAGCTGACACAGCATCCAGTCTAGCTGACACAGCATCCATCCTAGCTGACACAGCATCCAGTCTAGCTGACACAGCATCCAGTCTAGCTGACACAGCATCCAGCCTAACTGACACAGCATCCAGTCTAGCTGACACAGCATCCAGCCTAGTTGACACAGCATCCAGCCTAGCTGACACAGCATCCAGTCTAGCTGACACAGCATCTAGCCTATCTGGCACAGCATCCAGTCTAGCTGACACAGCATCCAGTCTAGCTGACACAGCATCCAGCCTACAGTAGCTGCTATTTTCCAGATTTTTGACCATTTTTTCTCTATACTCCCTAGATTTAGTCCCCTAATAAGAGACATGAGATTTAGACCATTGGTTTTCTTAGAGGAGTATCTACACAATTTAACATTGTTTTACCCATTGGTCAAAATATGCTTTTTTGATTGGACATCCTACTGTAATACAGTATTTAGTGTCCCAGGCTATTTCTGTTAAACAATACAGTGCAGGAAATGAATTGAAGAAAATACCACCAATATTATCATGTGTTTATATAAACACTCATGTTTGGTCTGTGTGTGTGTCCTGTGTGTGTCTATACTGTATTTATGTGTGTATATGTGTGTGTGTGTGTGTGTGTGTGTGTGTGTGTGTGTGTGTGTGTGTGTGTGTGTGTGTGTGTGTGTGTGTGTGTGTGTGTGTGTGTCAGGATCATCGCTGCGCTGTCTGCTGAAGAGCTGGGTCTGTTCCGGGAGCGTATCCGTTTCCTGGACAAGAAGATCCAGCCGGGTCTCTCCAAGCTGCTCTGGTCCTCTAAAGGAGCATCCAACTTCTTCATCAAAGACTGCAGGCTGCACGCCAGCAAGGTCAGGACACACAATAATAAAACACACACTGACTCATAGATTATAGAAAGATTGTAGAGTATTGGTCACCAACCTTGAGATAGAAAGAGAAGTTGTGCTGTAGGATTTTTCTAGTCATTTTGTTGCATTATAACCTTGAATAGGCTAGTTGAATCAAGCTTTATCATGTTTGGCTGGAACAAAAACCTGCATACATCTGATGCTGTCTAGGACCAGGGTTGGTAGCCATTGGGTTAGAAGAACACTTCACTGCACTGATAGACAGGAAGCTGAAGTACAGTAGTGGTTAGAGAAAATATAAGTATTTTACAGTAAGTCAGTATTATGTAAGTCAGTATTTTACAGTAAGTCAGTATTATGTAAATCAGTATTTTACAGTTAGTCAGTATTATATGTGACCTGACCTTACTACTGCGCTGTGCTCCTGGGCCCAGGGTTTAGATATGAAGCTGTAACCCCTGTAGCTATAGTACAGCAACAGGATATGGGTTCATTTGGCTCCCTGCTTTTACAAACCACCTCCATCACACTCGCACGCACGCACGAACACACACACACAGCACACACTGTATCCCGTTGTCATCCTTCTGCGGTCAGCATTTTCTAGACCAATAAAAACATCTGAATCTTGGAAACAAATTCAGCAGAATTCAGCCGCTAGCAGAAAACAGCAGACACACACACACACACACACACACACACACACACACACACACACACACACACACACCACACACACACACCCAGCCAGGCTGGCCGCAGTTCAATTTAAGCCAGGATGCATGGAGTGTTATGAGACATTACTGTTGGATCCAATGCACAGAGGGCTGTGTATGATGGACTGTGTGTGTGTGTGTGTGTGTGTGTGTGTGTGTGGTGTGTGTGTGTGTGTGATGGACGCAGAGGGCTTCTATTCTCCTCAACCACCGGCATCAAATTATCTCTAGAGGGAAGAGAAGGAGGGCAGGGATAGACGGGAAGGTGGAGAGGGGGATAGATTATAAATACACATAATCCTCCTGCATTTCATTTTTATTCCATTCCAATGCCATATAAGGCTGCATTATAAAGCAGGGGGAGGTTGTATGATTCATGGGGAATTGTATAGTAAGAGACACAGGACACAGGAGAGTTGCAGTGAATAGTCTGGTTTCAGATCAGTTTGTTCTGTCTTGCCAACAGCAATGACCGTAGGAATTGTCAAGACAGCACAAACAGACCTGGGACCAGGCTAGGCTAGGGGTGTAATGCTAAAATACTAGCTGTAGTATAATGAATGCTTTGCCAACGTTATGGAGTTACATTGTATTGGATGCTAAATTACGCTACGATGCTACAGTGGTTCAGTATAATAATGAATGCCTTGCCAACATTGCATTGGATGCTTCGATGCTAAGCTACGCTACGATGCTACAGCGCTACAGTATAATAATGAATACCTTGGCTTCCAGAGAGACGTTATGGGGGCTCAGTCTTCAGACAGGTTGAGCAGCAGCAGTATGTGTAATGAACACTAACACTCATTGGCAAGGATTCATGCCACCGCACCGCACCCCTCTCCCCTCTCTCCCCTCTTTCTCAAGGGGTTTAAGATCAAGTTTGCGTCAAGCCAATGTCAAGATCTGTCGAGCCCAAAGTCAAAAGCTCAGTGAGCGCTGTCTTCCGTGTTGTAGGTAGGTAGATGGGGAGGGAGGGTGTGAGAGAGAGAGCGAGCGAGAGGAAGAGAGATCTGAACTGACTCAGAACAGCCCCCACCATCCCTATTTTTCCCTCTCTCCCCCCACCCACTCCCTCTCTACCTCTCTTCCCCCCCAACTCCTCTTCTCTCGCTCTCAGAGGATTATTCTGTGCGGCAGGCCTTATCCCCATGAAAGCCGTAAAATCTGGAGATCGGAGCTAGGATCTGGAATTCTGAGTGCGAGCCGGATTACTCTCCATATGAATTAGGTCCGGCTGCCGAGGCAATATGAGAGAGCTAGTCATCTCTGCAGCTCCCCTCCTCTTCTCTCTTCCACAAATTGAATAGGAAACTGTTGGATGTATGTTCTGTTCTGGATGGCTATGGCCTGATGCTGTCATGATAAGACCTGTCTCTGGTAATTCAAACCAGAAGAGTTAGTGATGATGGAGATGGTGGAGCGTGGTTTCTATGTAATGAGCTCGCCTGCTTCGATCCTAGAAGTGAAGGGGGATTGGAGGGGGTTGGAAAGGAACACTGCTGGGAAAGTACCATGTGTTCTATATTCATCCAACTTTCCCAATTTGGTTCTATTCCTCCTCTCCTCTCCTCTCCTCTCCTCTCCTCTCCTCTCCTCTCCTCTCCTCTCCTCTCCTCTCCCTCTCCTCTCCTCTCCTCTCCTCTCCTCTCTCCTCCTCTCCTCTCCTCTCCTCTCCTCATCCTCTCCTCTCCTCCCCTCCCCTCCCCTCCCCCTCTCCTCTCCTCTCCTCTCCCTCTCCCCCCCCCCTCCTCTCCCGCCCCTCCTCTCCTCCTCTCCCAAATAAACCATCACCCCCCTAACCCATTCTCCCCTCCCTATCAGATCCAGCTCATCGTGGATGAGTACAAGGCAGCCAACCTGGCCATCTCCCGTCAGTGTGGTCTGATCAGTGAGCTGCTGCTTGTGCGTGTGGATGGGAAGACAGTGTACAGGGACCTGGAGTTTGAGGGGGACCAGCAGGCCCACCAGCAAGCCCAGCTTCAGAGGCTCCACTCAGCACACCAGGCCATTGTAGCCATCATGTCCCGGGTCTACGAGACCTTCCGCACAGACGGACCAGAGGTGTGTGTGGTGTAGTGACGCGCGGGTTGAATCATAGCACGCAGTCTCTGCGGTTATATCCGCGGGGCTGGCGGGTTAAGGGTCATTAAATATTGTGTGGGGGAAGGGCGGGTTGAATAAAGAGAAAACAATACTTATTTTTTTAAATAAATGTATCATTCATGTGCAGTTTATATCTATAGGCTACATTGAGGTTTTTCTTTCATTATTTTAGGCTATCTGGCATTAGTGCGTAAGCTTAAGGTTTAGGGCCTAACTGTACGCACTCTAAATAGCCTACAGCCAATCGCCAAATGCTTTTGGGAACGGGCAGAAAAAGTTAACATCGATCCACGGAGGCAAAAAGGACAATGTCAGAGTTTAATTCAATAAGAGAAAAGCTGTGAAATGAAGAGTTCAAAATAAAGATGTTTGGGAAAGATTTGGTGAAGTGGTAAAAGAGGATGATAGCAGTGCCGGCTTATGTTATGTGTGATGATTGTGAGGCGCTATACAAATTCAACAGTCGCAAGACAGGGTCTTCAAATAGGCCTATGGCACGTCAAGGGAACTGTAGCCTACTGTTCAGATGGGTTAAATGGAAACTGCAATTTGGACACTGACTGTAGGTCTATAACCTCTCACATAGCCTTAATATTAACTCCTGCAGAATTAAGCATTTCTTGCAGTAAAATTATACACCAAATATAGACCACATTTTGACTCGGGAACAGGAGTGGAGAAGTATGATTGAATTCTTTCAGCATCTAGAGAGAATTCAAATGCACAGTTAGATACTGTCTGTAGAGGTGCTATCAGCGTCATAAAAGCTGATTGTATTTCAACCACATAAAATATGCATCCAAGCAGAACTGAAATCTTATCAGAAACATGTTGGGTTGTTTTCACAGCTTTCTATTTCCCTAATACCAGTCAGAAAATCTTTCAATTCTTTGGGGGGTTTTTGGGGGTTTTTTTGGGTTTTTTTTTCTTTTTTTTCTTCTGTCATATAATGACAGAAGAGAAGCTGCATGTATCTAATTATAGACAAGTTGACTAACAGATAGCCTACTGAAATTATAAGCAGAAACATCTCAATCAGGCAAAAAAAAGCCTGCACCCCCTGTCAAAAAATACACTGCTCAGAAAAATTAAGGGAACACTAAAATAACACATCCTAGATCTGAATGAATGAAATAATCTTATTAAATACTTTTTTCTTTACATAGTTGAATGTGCTGACAACAAAATCACACAAAAATGATCAATGGAAATCAAATGTATCAACCCATGGAGGTCTGGATTTGGAGTCACCCTCAAAATTAAAGTGGAAAACCACACTACAGGCTTATCCAACTTTGATGTAATGTCTTTAAAACAAGTCAGAATGAGGCTCAGTAGTGTGTGTGGCCTCCACGTGCCTGTATAACCTCCCTACAACGCCTGGGCATGCTCCTGATGAGGTGGCGGATGGTCTCCTGAGGGATCTCCTCCCAGACCTGGACTAAAGCATCCGCCAACTCCTGGACAGTCTGTGGTGCAACGTGGCGTTGGTGGATGGAGCGAGACATGATGTCCCAGATGTGCTCAATTGGATTCAGGTCTGGGGAATGGGCGGGCCAGTCCATAGCATCAATGCCTTCCTCTTGCAGGAACTGCTGACACACTCCAGCCACATGAGGTCTAGCATTGTCTTGCATTAGGAGGAACCCAGGGCCAACCGCACCAGCATATGGTCTCACAAGGGGTCTGAGGTACCTAATGGCAGTCAGGCTACCTCTGGCGAGCACATGGAGGGCTGTGCGGCCCCCCAAAGAAATGCCACCACACACCATGACTGACCCACCGCCAAACCGGTCATGCTAGAGGATGTTGCAGGCAGCAGAACGTTCTCCACGGCGTCTCCAGACATTTTACATTTAAATTTTTAGTCATTTAGCAGACGCTCCTATCCAGAACGACTTACAGGAGCAATTAGGGTTAAGTGCCTTGCTCAAGGGCACATCGACAGATTTTTCATCTAGTCGGCTCAGGGATTAGAACCAGCAACCTTTCGGTTACTGGCACTACGCTCTTAACCACTAAGATACCTGCCTTCCAGACTCTGTCACGTCTGTCACATGTGCTCAGTGTGAACCTGCTTTCATCTGTGAAGAGCACAGGGCGCCAGTGGCGAATTTGCCAAACTTGGTGTTCTCTGGCAAATGCCAAACGTCCTGCACGGTGTTGGGCTGTAAGCCCAATCCCCACCTGTGGACGTCGGGCCCTCATACCACCCTCATGGAGTCTGTTTCTGACCGTTTGAGCAGACACATGCACATTTGTGGCCTGCTGGAGGTCATTTTGCAGGGCTCTGGCAGTGCTCCTCCTGCTCCTCCTTGCACAAAGGCGGAGGTAGCGGTCCTGCTGCTGGGTTGTTGCCCTCCTACGGCCTCCTCCATGTCTCCTGATGTACTGGCCTGTCTCCTGGTAGCGCCTCCATGCTCTGGACACTACGCTGACAGACACAGCAAACCTTCTTGCCACAGCTCGCATTGATGTGCCATCCTGGATGAGCTGCACTACCTGAGCCACTTGTGTGGGTTGTAGACTCCGTCTCATGCTACCACTAGAGTGAAAGCACCGCCAGCATTCAAAAGTGACCAAAACATCAGCCAGCAAGCATAGGAACTGAGAAGTGGTCTGTGGTCACCACCTGCAGAACCACTCCTTTATTGGGGGTGTCTTGCTAATTGCCTATAATTTCCACCTGTTGTCTATTCCATTTGCACAACAGCATGTGAAATTTATTGTCAATCAGTGTTGCTTCCTAAGTGGACAGTTTGATTTCACAGAAGTGTGATTGACTTGGAGTTACATTGTGTTGTTTAAGTGTTCCCTTTATTTTTTTGAGCAGTGTATATGGTAACCTTCTGTGATTTGATTTGTACTCACAAAGTGGCTAGCAAGATAATATTATGGGGTAATTTCATTTTTGAAAATGAAAACTGTCCATCTAGAAAATCACTTCATTTAGAACTTCACCTGTGGAACAAATTACCAATAGATGAGATTAAGTGGTTGAGTGAATTCATGATGGACAGATAATAGTAGGTGTGTGTATGTGGGGATTTGTGTGCTTGCGCGCGCGTGTGTGTGTGTGTGTGTGTGGTGCTTGTGTGTGTGTCTCAGGTCCAGCAGCACTGGGTTGTGTACACAGAGAAGATGGACAGCATGGTGGAGGAGGCTCTCCGTCTCAACGTCAAGTGGTCCCTACAGGAGCTGTCCAAGGCCATCAACGGAGACAGCAAGACCTCCCCCAACCCCCTCTTCAGGGTGCAGGTGGTGCTACGCCAGGAAGCCCCTGGGGCCACCTCACAGGTAGAGGGACACACAAATTCACACACACACACGATTCATGAAAATACACAAACAGAGAAACACACACAATCACTCAATCATACACACACACACACACACAGTTTTTTTACACTCATGCATAAGCATTGCAGATTGTAATAGACTTCAAGGCAATTCTCAACACATATATTTTGTTTACACTCTTAACAGAGATTCTAGCAAGATTCCTACGCGTACTAACCCCCCCCCAGACAAGAGTCTTATATTTTAAAGCAGAACAACGTCATCCATTCTCAGTGTAAGATGTCATATGATTTTGTAGCATTTCCAAGGTTTGAGTCGCACTAAATAGTCGGCACTATTTAGAATACAATGGAAGAGAACATATTTTGTCCTTGTCTAGCAAACGCAGAGCTCTACGCAGTGCAGGTTGTTTTACATATGAAGATAGCATTATAAATCAAAACAGGACACCAAGACTCTCCCTCTCCCTCTCCCTCTCTCTCACTCTTTATAAATCAGCCGTGCCATATGATTTATGCTTTATGTATGTAAAATATCTGCATCATTGATAGGCTAGGATTCTTTATACAGGAGGATTAATTTATGTTATTACAAATTAAACGTATTAGAAATGAAATTATAGCAAGAGAGCTCGTTAGGTCTTTAAGCCTAGAGGCAAAAAGTATTGATTGCTGCAATGGTGTAAGTAGTAATGGTTTGTGTGTGTGTGTGTGTGTTTTTTTGTGTGTGTGTGTGTCCAACAGGTGGAGTTCTCCCCCACTCTACAGAAACTGGCTCAGATTGTGAACAACATCAGTTCTCAGCTGATCAGCACCATCTCTGTGTTCAAACGCCTCCCGGACCTCCTCACACGCAGACGCTCACAGAGGAAACCTGTACCCTGCATCATAGGTAACACACACACACACACACACACACACACACACACACACACACACACACACACACACACACACACACACACACACACACACAGACATAGGTTAGAGACCCCTCTCACCTCACTGTTCCACGTCTCACGCGTCCTCCTCCTCGACCCATCCTTATGTTCAGTTCTCTTTATTGTCGCTTCTGACCCCTCACCCTTCCTCACCTCACCCCATCCATCTTTCATTTTTCACTCCTTCTCTTTATCCAGATCATTTAATCTCTTCATCCTCATCTCCCATCCCCCTTTACTTACTCACCTTACGTACCTCTCATATTCCATCCCCCTCACTCCATCCTCACCCCTCACTCCATCCCCCTCACTCCATCCTCACCCCTCACTCCATCCCCCTCACTCCATCCTCACCCCTCACTCCACCCCCCCCCTCACTCCCCCTCACCCCCTCACTCCATCCCCCTCCATCCTCCCCCTCACTCCATCCCCCTCACTCCATCCCACCCCTCACTCCATCCCCCTCACTCCATCCCCTCCTCACCCCCCTCACTCCATCTCACCCCTCACTCATCCCCTCCATCCTCACCCCTCACTCCATCCCTCCCTCCTCACCCCTCACTCCACCCCTCACCTCCATCCCCCTCACTCCATCCTCACCCCTCACTCCATCCCTCATCCCCTCACTCCATCCTCACCTCCTCACTCTCATCCCCCTCACATTCATCCTCAACCCCTCACTCTCACTCCCCCGTCACATTCATCCTCACCCCTCTCTCAACCCTCACGCCATCTCCCCTACCATACCCCCACTCCTCCTCACCATCCTCCCTCCTCCTGCTCTCCTCTCAACCCTACTATCTCCTCATCCATCTCATCCCTCGCTTTCTTCATCCTCTCCTCCTCATCCCCATTTTACAGCCTCCCCTGTCAGCTGTCTCCTGGTTTGATTGACAGCAGGTCGTCCACATGGAGTATCTAGGCTTTGGCTTTAATCAAACAGTCAGGAGATGGTGGACTGGAGCAGGCCAGAGGTAGCCCCTCTCCATAGCTCTGAGTGTGTGTGTTTGTCCAGCCATATCCCATCGAGGGGGAATGCTCGTACAGCTACTGCTGTTAGCTGCTGAACCCCAATCAACATAGTCTAGTTGATCCCTAGTGACACGCGCCAGGCTGTAAAACATGTCCACTCATGAAAAGCCTTTTTTAACAAGTGTAAGTGCCTGTTACAATGTGTCAAAGGTGCGTCAACTCACTGTATTTAACAACGAATGTGTGGAAGCATGCACTATGTAGTCGAGTGTACAGTTACTGTATGTATCTACCATATGGTGAGCTTGTGGTAGAAGGTGCCTTTATCCACAGATCTCAGATCAGGTTGACATACTCCAAGTTGTAACCATAACCATCTTTATTGATTTATCCAGGCTTGTCTCATTGAGATAAACATATATTTGGCAAGAGAGAGGATGGACTGAATTTAAAGAATAAAAAATTAATATCTGTATCAGTTAGGGGCTTCTACTTACTCCATATAGTAATATCTTTGGAATCCCCTCTCTCTCTCTCTCCCTCCCCCCAGAGCAGGATAAGGACATTTCAATATGCTCCTCTATAAATATAATGTGCTTTGGCCTGTTTTACATGATGATTCCTCTTTTTCTCCTTCTCTAACCCCAGAACAAGATGAGGAGATCGGTAAGATTCAGGCAGCGGTAGCAGCAGGAATGACGGCCAACGCAGGCCACCTGCAGGCTTACCTGAAGACCTGGGACAAACACAGAGAGATCTGGGAGATCAACAAGGACCCCTTCATCAGGAGATACCAGCGCCTCAACCCCCCCGTGTCCTCCTTCGACGCCGACATCGCCAGGTTTGACCCTCTAACAGCTAGGGAGGGGAAGGGTGTGTTGCCAGATCAGTGTTTGCTTTAGCTTTAGCAAACTCTGTTGTTCATTGTAATGAATTACAGTTGTGTTGGCTAAAATAAGAACAGATGTGTGTCACGTACGTTAAGGAACGGGACGGACCAAGGTGCAGCGTGAAAGGCGTACATGTTTATTGAAGAATAAACACACGACACAGTAACCAAAATAACAAAACTTAACCGTGACGGTCCAAAGGCTAACACACAAGCCTACAACAGGAACACAACAAAAACCCACAACACAGGCAGGAAAACAGGCTGCCTAAGTATGATCCCCAATCAGAGACAACGAGCGACCGCTGCCTCTGATTGGGAACCACACCCGGCCAAACATAGAAACACAAAACCTAGAAATTCACACCCTGACCAAACTAGCTAGAATACTATAGGCCAGGGCGTGACAATCTGGCAACCAGGTAATCTACCTCAACAGGGTTGGAAGAGTAGAAGTTGTCCTTAGCCAGTCACAGATCTAGGATCAGCTTACACTACAAAACTGACCTTAGCTACATAGCCACGGGAAGATGTTTTGAGTTTAAAAAAAATACATATTTGCAGGCTAACAATAAAATACAATACCTAATGTGATAAGTAGCCTAAGCATAGGACAAAATTTGGTAACAGTAGTTAATTAAAATACATTTGCCAAAATGATATAATTACTCCTGTCTATACATAAATAAATAAAATCATTCAAAATACAGAGGATCATTAGCTTCTTTTAAGCTGTGGATTGTTTCAAATCACAAGCGTGTAGGTCTATATGCCTAGTTGGGAAGCCCGTTATTTGGGCTGTGCGCTTGGCAACAGACCTAGCTGAAGTGAGATGAGGCTGTCAGTGAAAAGCAATGCATCTAAAATATGTGTGAAGATAATGTGTCTCGAGTATAATTGGAAATGTTGAGACAAGAAGAAGGGGAGGGGTGGGTGGCGTAGATATTGGATCTTCTCTCTCCAGAATGCGCTCAGCTTTCTCCCGCCAATTCTTGCGCATTTATTGTGTTAATTGTTTGCCCTTTGATAGTTTATTTGATAAATTCCCCATTACACACACTGAGTGTACAAAACATTATGAATACCTTGACATGGACTGACCAGGTGAATCCAGGTGAAAGCTATGATCCCTTATTGATGTCACTTGTTAAATCCACTTCAATCAGTGTAGATCAGCGGTTCCCAAACTAGAGGTCGCGCCTTGACCCAGGCTGCACTTGACTGTTGCACTTGAATCATTCCCACGGTGAACGGCTAAGCCCGCTACGCTATGAAACCACACACTATTGCAGTGACTTTGATATTACCGGTCACAATTGATATGGTGAAAGCAATGTGTGGGGAGGCAGAGGCACAGAAACTCACATCAATACCTTTGTCAGATAACACTGTGAAACTAAGAATTGATGCTATAGCTAGAGGAAACTCTGACTGAATGACTCAAATTCCCCACCTTATGCTCTCTAAATGGACGTTAGCTGTGAGGGCCGAGATGCCCATTCATTGACTTTTGTTCGCTTCATGTCGGGGGATTCTATTCACAAGAACAGATTGTTCTGTCGATGTTTCCCGAGCATGAAATGGCACAGAGGATGTTCAGTTTGCTGAGTGGCTATATTGGCGAAAAACAGATTCCATGGGATCGAATGGTGGACTTTTGCACAGATGGGGCTACATCTATCACGGGACGGCGGGCAGGCCTCTGCATTCTAGTTCTGAATTTGTCTCCCTCTGCCATATGGACGCATTGTATGATACACCCACTGAGCTATAATGGATACACCGAGAGCAACTGGCGGCAAAAGAGCTGAGCACAGAACTCGGAGATGCGCAGCAGGTAACTTCGATTGTAAACTACATCGCGCACGCCTGTTCGCAAAACTATGTGGAGAAATGGGATCAGAGCATGACAATGCTCTATTTCACACTGAGGCTTAGTGGTTATCGAGGGGGAATGTCGGAAAGATTTGTTTACTTGAGAGAAGAACTGTTGTGATTCGCAATGGATGTCAAAAACTGATTTTGTTGACTTTCTGTGTAATGAAAAGAAAATGTGTGTCCTTGCCTATGTAACAGACATATTTGGGAAACTGAACGAACTGAACGCAAGCATGCAGGGGAAATACAAAAAAAATTATAAAGATGAGTGACCGAATCAGCGAAATCCGTTTGACTGTGATCCTGGCTCAGTTGACATGCCGGTAAGTGAAACCGAACAGCTGATGGAGCTGTCATGTGACCGAATGCTGCAGACAACACATTCACGGGTCACTATGGAGGCGTTTTGTTTCCTGACTCAAAGGGAATACTGTGCCGCTGATTCAGTGCTCTCTTCTGTATTAAAAACAAATATAGATCCAAGTTGGATGTGACAGGAGAGATGAGGTGCGCACTGTCGGCCACGCCCCCTGACTTTGAGAAGCTCCAACGTGACATGCCATCTCGTTAGTGGTGGTGAGACAAGATAAATGATGTCAGACTAATTTGCAATTGACTATCATAGCCCCACATTAGGGGTGCAACTCAATATTAGGAAGGTGTTCTTAATGTTTTGTACACTTAGTGTATGTCACCAGTAGTAAATGTACCGTTAATCCTCGTCATTTGGTTACATTCATTTCTGTTAATGCATGGATTAATTAAGCCTACAGTAATTTACCGTTCTCATTCTCTAAATGGAAATGTTGCTACACTTGTGAGAAACAAGTTTTGGTTTATTTCATACCATTAGTTTTGTCAATTTTGTCATTGTATTTTGTTTGGAGCGCTCCATGTGAGCAATGAGCCTGTGTCTGGTTTCTCTGTCCTCTTAATGTTGACTGAGCATGCGCCTGAGAATGCTTAGAAGTAGGCTAACTGGCCTGCTGCGTGCAATTGTAAGAAAGTGCCCATTTGGGGATGTCTGATTTCTGATTGTCTTAACTCACCACCACTAAGCTGAGCTTCTCAGTCATTTTTTCTTCACCTCACACAGGAAGTCAATGAAGTCAGTTTTTTATTAAATCTATTGTGAATGATAATAGTTCCTCACCGTATTTGAAAAATCTTTCCAACACTCTCCCCCTCGATAATCATCAGGCCTCGGTGTGAAAGAGCAGAATGTCATGCTCTGAGGATCCCATATATCCAGTGGAAACATAAAATAACTGAACACATTTCCCTTTGCGCAAAAACAGCTGCGTCTGTCCCCCGAGCTCACTGGCCCGGGAAACTCTGAAGGCCCTGAATAGGCTAGTGGCCCAGAATAGGCTAGTGGCCCAGAATAGGCTAGCGGCCCAGAATAGGCTAGTGGCCCAGAATAGGCTAGTGGCCCAGAATAGGCTAGCGGCCCAGAATAGGCTAGTGGCCCAGAATAGGCTAGCGGCCCAGAATAGGCTAGTGGCCCAGAATAGGCTAGTGGCCCAGAATAGGCTAGTGGCCCAGAATAGGCTAGCGGCCCAGAATAGGCTAGTGGCCCAGAAAGGTAGCGGCCCAGATAGCTAGGGCCCAGAATAGGCTAGCGGCCCAGAATAGGCTAGTGGCCCAGAATAGGCTAGTGGCCCAGAATAGGCTAGCGGCCCAGAATAGGCTAGCGGCCCAGAATAGGCTAGTTCATACAGTGTTGCACTTCACTAGCGATAGCTCAAGTCAAGACAGGTATAAAGGGAGGCAGACAGGTGGAGTAAAGAGATTCATGCTATTGAAAAACCTGCATTTTCAGTTTTTATTCATCGGCTTTATGTATTTTTACTTAGTTGACAATGGAAGTTATAGTCCTACTGCTACATTGGCCTATAGGCTATCTCTGAGTTCCATGTGCTCATTTCTTTAACAACAAATGGATCATGGTGTATCAATGTGTCCATATGGCAGAGGCTGGTGCTCTTGCATTAGTTTTATTTTTACTTTTAGATTTCTATCATTTTAATTCCGATTTGTATTATTAACCATGTGACAATAATTTTGAGAAACAAAAACGTCATTATTTAAATGAAACTGTTCCACGAAACTGGCACGCAGATCAGTAGAAATGGTAGGATAAATTGTAAGCTTCCCTAAACTTGAAACTCACGCGCCACCTAGGAATAGAGCATTGTGAACAGAGCGCACATTTCTTTGTACTGCATAATTACAACGGGTGTGTGTGAGAGAGTGAGAGAGAGAGAGAGAGAGCATGTGTTGCTTGCTAGACTAGTGGGTTAGTACACCTACGTGTTTGACATGGGCAGGAGCAGGCCTGTGAGCCGAGGGCGAGAGAATGCCATGTTCCTAATTTTATATTATTCCCATTCCCTTTTCGCCTAGAATTGTAAACTAATAGAAAATAGAAGTGGAAAACTATTGCGAGCACTGCTCCAGATCACTTGATATCCACCACAAGGGGGAGAGAAGAGGGGAGAGGAACAGAGAGGGAGAGAGACTAACTAAACTGTCTATCGTACAACAGAGCGCGTGTCTGACTCCAAACCCCCACAACTGAATAGATCAGAGCATATCATGAGCGCACGGATCATTTTTTATTGCAACAATACAAATGCAGCCCAAATTCCTGCCGTTTTCCCTTACCACCAGGGGGTGCTGCACCCCTACTTCCCGCGGCTATGCTTAGATCAGCATCTAGGAGCAGGTTCATCCTACTCCCACGGGAATGGATAGAGAAGAGAGAGGGTCCAAACCAGACCCAACTGTCCCTGTGTCCTGTCCGTTAAACATATAGATCATGTCATATGGATGTGCATGGTAAACATGTTGGAGACTAGCAGCAGATGAGACGATGAGACAGTCAGTGAGAGTGTGCAATATTGTCTTATGGATTTGTCTGAGATACTGTAAATGGTTGGAGAGTCAACACTCCATGTGTGTACATCACACGCCGGTCTGGCTCAGCAGTTTCCTATTGACCCTTGTCAATAGAACAATCAGACCATGTTGCTTTGATCCTTTGTGGTCTTTTGTTTGATGGTAATTCATTTGCCGTTGTATTTTAGTGTACTTTACTGTATTATACAGTACAGTATTGGACATAGATAATTATGTTAGTAAACAAAGTATAATCTTTAGGCTACAGAGGAACAGTGTATTGGTTCCTATTGAAGTCAAAGTACGGTCTTTATCTTGTACATATACTTAAAAATGTACACATCTTCACTCTCTCTCTTTCTCTCTCTTTCTCTCTCTCCCTCTCTCCCCCCCCCCCCCCCCCACCCTCCCCTCCCCTTTCCCTCTCCACCCTCCCCTCCCCCCTCTCCTCCCCCAGGTACACGGAGGTGGCCAACAACGTTCAGAAGGAGGAGACGGTGTTGAGTGTTCAGTTTGTGCTGCTGGACTGTGCTCCCCTGAAGTTCAGCCTGGTGCAGCACTGTAACGAGTGGCAAGGCAAGTTCACCCAGCTGCTCAGCCTCATGGCCAGCACCAGGCTCAAAGAGCTGCACATCTTTCTGCAGGAGAACGCTCTCAGGTGGGTGGGGAAGGTGGGTTGTGGAGGGTGGGGCTGGGAGTGTGTGGATTCCACTTTATAAAAGGTTTATGAAGAGTTTATGGGCCTTAAAGTTGTAGTTTGTTTAAAGTGGGACAAGTGTGTGTGGTGTAAAGGCATATATGTGGTATATAGCTAGATTATAGGCCTTTTGATTTGTGATGTGTCATAAACGTTTTATTTGCAGACATCTTCAGAGTCCATGAATGTGTACTGTATGTGCTGTTAATGATTGAAAAGGGTCAATAAACTATTATGTGTGTGTGCAGGCTGAGCAAGCCCCCACAGTCCCTGGTGGAGCTGGGTGAGAGTCTCAAGCTACTGGAGACTCTACAGGGAGACTTTCAGAAGATAGAGAGCCAGATACCTCCCATCCATGAACAGTTTGCTATCCTAGAGAAGTACGAGGTCACCGTGGACCAGGCTGTGAGTAGCAGATGGACGGACACCCAACCCCCCCACCCCACCCCACCCCACCCGTTTTAACCCCCCCTCTCTCTCTCCCCAGGTCCATGAGATGTTGGAGGCTCTGAACGGGGAGTGGGTGTGGTTCCAACAGGTGGTGATAGACAGTGACATCATGCTGAAGAAACAGAAGGACAAGTTCAAGAGCAGCCTTATCTTCTCAGCAGAGGAGTTTAAGAAGAAAATGCAGACTACCGTCCAGGACTTCAGCAGCTCAGGTCATCTGCTAGCACAAATAGCCATACACACATATCTCACACACAGCCATACACACATATCTCACACACAGCCATACATAGAGTAGATATCTCACACACAGCCATACATACACTAGGCAGATTATCTTACAGTATTTCTGCACACCAGGGTTGGAGTCAATTCCATTTCAATTCAGGGGATACATTTTCTGTTTAATTCCTGTTAAGGAATATACAGTGAGGGAAAAAAGTATTTGATCCCCTGCTGATTTTGTACGTTTGCCCACTGACAAAGACATGATCAGTCTATAATCTTAATGATAGGTTTATTTTAACAGTGAGAGACAGAATAACAACAAAAAAATCCAGAAAAACGCATGTCAAAAATGTTATAAATTGATTTGCATTTTAATGAGGGAAATAAGTATTTGACCCCTCTGCAAAACATGACTTAGTACTTGGTGGCAAAACCCTTGTTGGCAATCACAGAGGTCAGACGTTTCTTGTAGTTGGCCACCAGGTTTGCACACATCTCAGGAGGGATTTTGTCCCACTCCTCTTTGCAGATCTTCTCCAAGTCAAGGTTTTGAGGCTGACGTTTGGCAACTCAAACCTTCAGCTCCCTCCACAGATTTTCTATGGGATTAAGTTCTGGAGACTGGCTAGGCCACTCCAGGACCTTAATGTGCTTCTTCTTGAGCCACTCCTTTGTTGCCTTGGCCGTGTGTTTTGGGTCGTTGTCATGCTGGAATACCCATCCACTACCCATGTTCAATGCCCTGACTGAGGGAAGGAGGTTCTCACCCAAGATTTGACGGTACATGGCCCCGTCCATCGTCCCTTTGATGCGGTGAAGTTGTCCTGTCCCCTTAGCAGAAAAACACCCCCAAAGCATAATGTTTCCATCTCCATGTTTGACGGTGGGGATGGTGTTCTTGGGGTCATAGGCAACATTCCTCCTCCTCCAAACATGGCGAGTTGAGTTGATGCCAAAGAGTTCCATTTTGGTCTCATCTGACCACAACACTTTCACCCAGTTCTCCTCTGAATCATTCAGATGTTCATTGGCAAACTTCAGACGGGCCTGTATATGTGCTTTCTTGAGCAGGGGGACCTTGCGGGCGCTGCAGGATTTCAGTCCTTCACGGCGTAGTGTGTTACCAATTGTTTTCTTGGTGACTATGGTCCCAGCTGTTTTGAGATCATTGACAAGATCCTCCCGTGTAGTTCTGGGCTGATTCCTCACCGTTCTCATGATCATTGCAACTCCACGAGGTGAGATCTTGCATGGAGCCCCAGGTCGAGGGAGATTGACAGTGCATTTGTGTTTCTTCCATTTGCGAATAATCGCACCAACTGTTGTCACCTTCTCACCAAGTTGCTTGGAGAATGGTCTTGTAGCCCATTCCAGCCTTGTGTAGGTCTACAATCTTGTCCCTGACATCCTTGGAGAGCTCTTTGGTCTTGGCCATGGTGGAGTGTTTGGAATCTGATAGATTGATTGCTTCTGTGGACAGGTGTCTTTTATACAGGTAACAAGCTGAGATTAGGAGCACTCCCTTTAAGAGTGTAATGTTTTCTAATGTTAGACAGCCCACTGTAGCCAAACTACTCTTGATATATTCCATTACCCTTTGCGAGATATGAGATAGATGAGTGCAGGCGAAATTGACGCGCTGTCTGATGTAAGACAATGGCTACATACAGTACAGAGGGATACACACTGTACAGACTGTATAAGGACATGTCAGTAGCACCATAGGGGTAGTGTGTGTGTGCGTGCCTGCATGTGCGCGCGCGTGTGTGTGTTTTGGTGTGTGGGGAGGTTGTCTCTTTTTTGCTTGGTTCTCAGTGGTTTCTTCCCCCCTCCC